AAGAAAAACTGGGAGTTGGGCGAAGTTGGGAACGACCATAAATAATGATGGGATTCCTAAAATTTTAAGGGTTACGGTTTTTTTTTACAAGCTAGCTTTCAAATGAAAACCCTCCAAATAAATATAGAGCGGTTAATTTTAAATAATGACAAAACTAGCAACAGCAGGTTTTCGTTGTATCCTATAATTCATCGCAATGTCGAAAATCAAGCACTTAACTTTCTTTTAGACTGAAAGTTGTTTCTCATCTTTCGCAGTAATTAGAGTTGCTCTGCGATGCACAGAGTACGTACGCAATAGCAAGTAAAGCGCGAATTCAGAGCAAGTCTAATATCATTTGGGGTGGGTAAATTCGTAGTAGACTTGTCCCAGAGAATAAAAACATTAATTTGATGTCTCGATAGGCCTGTATAAGGCACTGTGCCAACCACATATGTGTTCAGTAACCTTCAAAGTCTTGATGATGTGGCACGCATGAAATATCAATGAAGGATAGCTCAAACCCGAACGTTTTACGCTTCAAGTTTCTAGGAAGTCCTTTCTATTGACGAGGCAGTGCATCAATGCATTTACACTCTGCATGAGTTCTACATAGCTTAGGAGGTCCGATTCCATACCTAATGGAACACCTCCTGTGTTAATCTTGGCACTTTCCTTTTTGCTGTTGCTTTGTAGCGTTTTAGAGCCGATACCTCTCCGCTGAGAATCACTCAGACTCGATTTTCAACAGCCCTATTCTATTGGCGCACTAATGGAAGACGAAATTTCTATGTGTGGTGAAGCTGAGCAGAAAGAAAAACACGAAACAGCAATACCACGTTACTCTTTTTCTCTTTATCACGAACTTTAATACTTGTTTTGGATTTTTGCTAGCATTTCTCTTTAAAAAGTAGATGTTTGTTCACTAGCCCATGAACTATTTCTTTTTAGGATTGCCATTATAAAGTAAGCTTAAACTAATAATTAATAACGGTCGCACCAGGTTTATTGATGGGCGTGACTTTTCGATCTAGTTGTAACTGCATTCCTTACTGAGGAATGAATCAGCATGAACTTGCATCACTACATACTATTTCATATTATATCCACTTATCATCATGAATCATCATCAATTCGCTATCTTCACAAGGAATCATATACGGTTGTGAATAATTTGAATTTGACCGGTAGTTTGCTGGCCGAGTAAGATTTTTTTCCTGAAGCCATGCTGACGTCATAGCAGGTAGTCACTAGGCACTGTGGATCAAACCGAGAATGGCCTCTCTGATATCATGTTGCAGCCTGGATGGCTTTGCTCCTTCGCATTGGCTTAATTTTAGTTGAACTCTCTTAGTGAAAATAATGAAAAAGAAAACTTGAAACTTGATGAAAATTGAAATGCTGAGATCCTTTTCGGCTTGGAAGACCGCGTTTGGAGACTAGACCTGCTGTCCATTGTAGCTCGTCTTTCAGCAACGTCCATAAACACAAGGAGGCGATAAATCATTGAGATAGTGGCATAACACTATTAATAACAGGCAATTTATGAAGAACTCTTCTCATTCAATACGTAGTGTAGAACTGTTCTTACGTTTTGCCCGCCGTTTGAACGATGTGAGATCACTTCAGAAAATGTACAGCACGGACCACGATCCTCAAAGCTCTACCGTTCCGCTGAAATTCGTCGTGCAACAGCCGTTCCAAATACGAATGAAAAAGTTGAACATTGTGCTTATAGAAAGCCAGAGTGGTAGCATTTAGATTGACGTTACGAGCGTTCTGCAAGCCTCATTTTAGGCAACGTGAGCGTTGCCGATCTTTAACGGTCGACGTGTTTGAAACATCAAGAAGCCGCAGAATTGGATTTTTTGGACGTTTTTTTGAGGGTTTGAATGCACCGATAAGATATTATCCCTGAGTACTGTTTTTTGTTATTCACATAAAGGATTTTATGTTGGGCAATCTCAATCGTAATCGCTTTATGGCGTCTTGTACTCAGTGCGAATATTCTTTCATAATGGGCATTTATCTCGAGTGCTTTTAGAAGTGAACAGTTTTTCAAAGTGTTACTGGCCACATTTTCTTAACCCTATCGTTCGTATTTTCGTCACTTATTCCTTTACTGTTTAACTTTTGTTAACCACTTCCTAACAGACCTCTACTATTACTTGGACCGCTGGCATGAATAGACCTAAGAATCGTTAGCATTAAACTTGGTTTTCTCTTAAACTCTCCGATATTGATTGATGGAAAGCTGCATCAATCCAATTGTTAGCGACATTTTCTGGAAAGAAAAAGGATTTGTTCATGTTGCTTAGCAAGAGAAGTACTCGTGTTGTTGTTTGTATGTTGGATGCAAAGTATTAACGAAGAGTGTTATTGTTTACCTTCACTGTTCCAGGAATCAGTGTAACAGAACAAATTTCACTTTTCTTCTGGATGTATTTTCTTTCTGTACTTCTCACAGGTGCTGATATATTCCTATTATTTGTTCCTGCCAGCATTGTTATCATCCTCTCCATCGTCGCTGAAAGTTTGGTATACGCAACCCAGATAACCTCAGAGGGAGCGAAGCCTCTAGTGGGTACTACACCAATCTACACTGATAGCTCACTATGCATTGAGTTATTGTTGGCATAAGTTGGGTAATTCCAGAATGATATCCACGGGGATCTTTTCTACTCTTACTACTATCCGATTAGTGATGTTTTCTTAGTGAATTCAGCAATTACAAGACGATGTTCAGTTTATCCTAAACTAATGACACTCAGCACGTAGTGCGATATGCATCGTATTAGAAATGTAGACGATTTTCTGGAGTGTAGGGCCTCTAAGACTTTTCCTTCTGTTTCAGAAAAAAGAACAAAAAATCTCAGCCTTTCATTATTGCCTTCGCCACGGGTAAATCTTAGCCTTCGTGCTCTTTTTAAACTTTTGACAAGTCACATCATTTATAACGAAAACTTCATATCGCATTTTTTTCGAGAATCTAGTACGTCATTGTCCCTGAGCGCCACAAAACATTACCGAAACCAAAACCTAAAACATAAATAAAATAAGACGTACATAAATTGTCCCTAAAACCCGAGAGAAACCAAAAGAAGACTGGCTTCCACTTCTGAATGTGCAAATTAGCTCATCGGAAAACGGCTACACTACGAAGTGGTATCGAAAGCTAAGTAGTAAAAACATCCTAGTTCATTACATCTCCTCCCATCCCTCTCACACGAAAAGGGCGCTTGTGAGATACATGTATCGAACAGCTACCAGCGTGTGCACAGGAAGACAACAGAGAGAGGAGTCCCGAAAATTGGCGCGGCAAATAGCGATTTTTAATGGCTACGAAACCGTAGCTCGAGATAGGTGTAGAGGAAACCACAGGTACCCTAACGATAACTCTAGCGACAACAAAGTCCCGTTTATACTGCCCTTCATTTCAAATGAAGTAAGTGCAGCTATAAAACGCTGTTTAAGAAGGGCCAGTCTAGAGAATTCAGTAACGATAATAGAAATATCACCGAGTAATCTAAGGCGCCAGCTAGTTCGTAACCGCCTATGCGACCGTCTATGTGCAGCGCAAAATTGCATAATTTGCCCCAATGGTAGAGACGGTGACTGCATGAGTTCGGGTACAGTCTATCTGATCTCTTGTAAAGCGTGTGGGGACGAATACGTTGGCGAAACGGGTAGAACACTCTGCGTACGTACAAAAGAACACCTAGTCGGCAAACGTAAGCCAAGTACTCCACTAGGTACGCATAGCACGCAGAAACATATCGGAGAAGGTTTTGAAGTAAGGGTTACGATCCTCGCGCAAGAATCGGGAACACAAGCGCGTAAAACTCTAGAGGCATTCTGGATTAATTGCAAGAATCCGAAAATGGACCGCAAGAGAGAATGCCTCGTTATCACGCGTGATATTGGACAGTATATAAGCCTGTTATTCTGATGTGAGGGGCACATTATGCTTCCATGTGAATTCTGTGCGATTGGTCTTCACGCGACATACTCAGTAGAAGCCTCATAGAAAGCGGTGAGTGTGCAGAGCTATGCTAAATGTGATTGAAATCTTGCGTTAGCGTTTTCTCTGTTTGGTTATGGAGGTGTTTGGCCGAATGGATTGCTATCAACTTGACCCTTCCAGGCTCTGAGGAAGACGAAAACCGCCGAAACGTCAGCTTGCGCGTAAATAAAGAAATAAAATAGCACCTCGTGTTTGCTGAACAGAAGTAGAAAGATATATATACAAAACATTACGTCAAGAGTCACAGTTAGACGGAATTCGATGATAATTTCATTATACTTGTTTCTCTACCCGTCTCATCTTTTTCTTTCTCATCCTTTTTTCTTTCTATTCTTTCATAATTTCCGTGTTCTTTCTATTATTTTCTTCAGTTTTCACACTACATTCTTTTCAAGAAGCTATTTTAAGGAAGTTGGAGCTGTTTACATATTAGCATACATTTTCGCGAATTTATAGTTGGCAAAACACTATCAATATCTACGACTACACATTTCCTTGAATTTTAAATAGATTTCCATTGTTGTTTAACAGACCTGTATGAACGGAAAAATTAATCGATTGCCGTTTTCCTATTTCTGTTCTTATCAGAAGCACTTTGTAGTATATCGTTGCTAAGTCGAGTACGTTGTTGACAATGGTTTTCCTAAATAGTGGGGTTTTTACATACTTTCTAGTTAGAAAAGCAAAGCAAGGGCCTCAGTGATGCAATGTGTAACACATGAACCTTCGGAAAGGCTAATCACGGGTTCAGATCTAGCGTGGGGTCCATGTTTTGCAAATTTCTCAGCGTCATAGTGATTGTACTGTCCAGTTATTTTTTTCTTTCGTGCACTGTCGACCATTTATTTCTCGGGGTTATACAGACTTACAATTCAGAACAGGCTCCTTAGTACTGTGACAGTAACACATCACTTTATTATTACGGCCAAATTAACTAGCTTGATCAAGAATTGCCGGTTGATCGTCACTACGAGACAACTCGTCCAGCTGAGCCGCGATGGCGCGTCGGGCGGGACGCGCTACACCCGCATTGGATGGTGCTGTACGAGTTAACGGTATCATGCTTCCGGATGATATGTCAAATGAACTGAAGACGCTGAACGTAAAAATCGAGGACACCAGTTATGAAGTAGGTTTAATGACTCCTTCAATTTTACCAGCGTTTCCCCATTTTCAATAGCAAAAGAAGGAATTTTAAGTTAAAAACCACTTTTATTCCATAACTAACATAATGTTCTTCTCTTCTAAGGATCCAAACTTATGAACTATCCAAATGGTTGTTCAGTAGATAATTGCTTTCTTACCTCCACACTCAATAATCCAAATCAGTCGGAAGAAAATTTTGTTAATCTTAAAAAAAGATGCTGGAATCCGCATATGAATCTGCTTCGAGCAAAGTCTTCAAGTGGTTATCGCGATAAAGGGTATGTCACACTTCGCATCTTTAAATGTCTCATCAGACTCTGGAAAGCACTCTTATCTTACTAGTAGGATCTGAACAATCATTACAGATTCCATAATCAAATGCAGTTTTTCTACTGGTAGACTCTTCGGCGACTTCACGACTGAATTTGGAATTCTACAAAAACTGGATATGAAGCGACTTTTAAAAATGCTGCACATAAAAACAGAACGAATTCTTCGCTCTGGAACGGTATATGACATCAACACAAAGGCATAGAAATTTTCGTCTATGTTGCACAATACTTGAATTTAAGAAACCGAGATGGCCATGCTTGAAAAGCTAATACGGCAGTTATTTTCTAGACAACCTACTACTTCAGTCTTACTTCTTGCTAAGCTGTAATCCCTGTTTTCTTTCTTCCCTATGGTAGGTACTCAAACAAATATTAGCGACAAAAGGAAACAAAAGAAAACATAGTACATATATATATATATATATATATATATATATATATCCCTCGTATGAGGGACCTCGAGCCGGTTATTCGCGGGACTCCGTAGCGCGTCCCAAGGTGGCGGATAGGGGGTTAATCGCGGACCAAAAGCGACCTTTACTTCTCTGAGACGCAGGTGGATCCAGGGGATGGACTCCCTGTTTCTGTTGCGCTGATTTGGCACATACTTTCTGTATTTGCTAGTCGTATTCATGCATGCGTATGTGAATACGTTCTAGTTTATGCAGATTGTATTCTACGAGTCAATTCGGCCAAAAGCCTGCAATCAAGTGACTGGGAAATATATGGGTGGCGGTTAGGAGTCGCCTCTAACAAATAAGCTCCGTGTCCGCTCTGGGAGAGCCTGGCAAGCTACCCGTGAGTATACCCACCCCCCACGTTCAGAGCCCAGCAAGCTATACGTGGGTATCAAAAATGCTAAACACAGTAAAAAAAAAACCAGCCTCATTCCCTTGACCCCGAAAGAGCCCTCAATTTTCCAGTGTTGAGTAGGACAAGTACGAAGAGGCTGATAAAATCTCAGGGCCAATGGAAGCTGCTTGCATCGCGAAAAAGTAAGGTGACGATCTGTACCTACAATGGACTTACACTTGCATCCGAATCCTCGGCAGAAGACTTGCTCATGCAAACAAGAAGGGTAAGGTACGACCGACGTCATCGCCTGGCCGAGACGAGAAGACGCCAGCCTTTCAACGCCGTCCATGACGCCGGAGAAGAACTGTTGGAACATGCGATAGCAGAGTCGGCGCGTCCGCGTTCTCGTTAACACGAGTTTTTCCATGAAATTCGATTCATTCGAACAACTTACAACCCGAATCGGACGTTTACGATTAAAAAGACGTGGATCAATTCCGGCTTTGACAATCTTCGTCGTTTACGTGCCGACATCAAACTATGTCGAAGAAGAACTCGAAGCGTTCCATATGGACTTGGAAAAGTTCTACAGAGAAGACCACACATTCTTCAAGGTCATCATTGCAGATTTCAACGCCAAGATTGTGCCAAGAAGAACGTCTGAAGAACGTCACATTGAAACCCACGGATCAGAATGGAACGAATAGGGTGAGCGGCTACCTTAGCTTATCATGGCGACCAAGACCATCCATGGTATCTCGCAATTCCAGAAGCCCCACCCTCAGCGCTGGACGTGGGAGTCTCCCAATGGAGAGCACCAAAGCGAAGTAGACCACATCATAGTAAATAGAAGGTTTTGCCTAACCGATGTCGCTGTTGTCTCAAAATTCTATACGGGATTGATTAGACCATCATCTCCTTCGTGAAAAATTCTATTTCACGCGGCAAGGAGAAAAAGCCACTAAATTCCAAAACCGAAGTCCCAGAACCACCATAAACTGAGACTTAATCAATTCATTTGTCGGCTGTTGGGAAGATGCCGCTGTCCATAACATAAGAACATCGGCGAAGAATATGATCGGCTCATTCAACATCTTCACGTTAGCGCTATGAAAGCTCGGAGTTCGAAAGTCACCAAGAGAAGTTTGTCTCCAGAAACACTCGAGATACGCCACCGTGGAATCGCACCAGCTGCAGGTAACCGCGAGCTAACGTCCGAACTGGCAAAACAGTGCAGAGAGGCGATAAAAGAAGATCTTAGAGAGAGAAGAGCGGCAGTAATGGCTGAAGCTGCAGAGGCTGGGAAAAGCATTCGCAAAGCACACCGAAGCTTCGCCAATTACAAGACCAAGATGATTGCACTCCGACGTCCAGACAGAACAGTTACAGCGTCCAGAAAGGCAATGAAAAAAATCATTCACGAATACAACTCAGATCTCTTCGGTAACCACGTCCACCTCTCGTCATATGAAATAAAGGAGGATGGATATGTTGTACCTGGCTGGACTCTTCACACGTCATTTGTCCGAATGCAAGGTTCCTGCTCAGTGGATGATCAGCAGGACCGTGTTATTGTTTAAGAAGGGTGACCTGCACGCTATCGGGAACTATCGCCCGATCTGCTTACTTTCTGTCGTCTACAAGCTTTCCACTCGATTCATCCTAAACAGGATTGACAGAACACTAGACAAAGGATAGCCATGTGGGCAAGCAGGGTTTCGAAGAGAAATTTAGTACGATGGACCACATCCACACGGTAACACGGCTCATTGAAGTATCGCGAGAGTACAAAAGACTGCTCTGCCTCACTCTCATCGATTTACAGAAGGCCTTTGATCCAGTTGAGATAGGAGCAGCTTTGGGAGCCCTCGATAGTCAAGGAGTCCCTACTCAGTACATAAAGATTCTTCGTGAGCTGTACAAAGATTTCACAACCAAGATATCAGCATTCTAAAACGATATTAACATTGACGTCAAAAGAGGGGTTAGGCAAGGCGATGCTATCTCACCAAAATTATTTACCGCCACCCTCCAGAACGTTATGCGAACATTGGAATGGGATAATATGGGAGTCAAAATCGATGGTCGGCAGTTAAGCCACCTTCGCTTTGCTGATCATATCGTCCTTATAACACCAAACATTTGCCAACTTGATGACTTTGATAAAGCTCATAGAAAGATTGGTCTTCGACTAAATCTCACAAAAACGATGTTCATGAAGAACGGATTGGTTTCGTATGCCCCATTCACGCTCAACGGAACGAATATCTCCGAATGCTCCAATTATCTCTATCTAGGTCGGGAAATCAATGTGATGAACGACCTAGCTCCAGAGCTGAGTAGAAGGAAACGAGCAGCTTGGGAAGCTTTCAAGAGCGTCGAGGATGTAGTGAAGAAAACAAAGAACACCCGACTCCGTGCTTACCTTTTCGACTCAACGGTGCCTCCTCCCTAACTTATGCGTCAGAAACCTGGTAGCTGCGTAAGCAGGATGAAAGGCCACTCGTTGTTTTCGAACGCGCAGTCGAAAGAACGATGCTAGGAGTATCCTGTTCCGCACAAGTCAGGCATGGGATCCGAAGCTCCGATCTGCGTCAACGATTAAAAATCATTGATGCCCTTCTATACGCCAAACAGTCGAAGATAAGGTGGGCCGGACACGTAATGCGTATGAATAACAACCAATGGACAAGAGCCGTTAGTGACTGGTTTCCTCGGCAGGTCAAATGTACTGCAGGAAGACCATCGACCACCATCCGGTCAGAGTTCTTCACAAAGAACCTTGAAGAAAAATATGATGCTCGACGAGTCCCTGGAACGACCAGAACCCTCCGGGCTACTCTTGCACGCGACAGGGAAAAATGGAAGAGTCGCTGGCGCCCGCTCGAGTCTCTCGACGGTCAACGGGACTACAGGTGATACAGGTGATATATATATGTATATATATATATATATATATATATATATAAGGGGCGGATAGCACAGGGGGTCTGTCATTACGAGAATGGTGCTAGTTCGATTCCGCTCCGGACCAACCAAGCCTCTCATCATTCCGGGGTCGGGAAATTGGTATCGGACTTTTCTGGGAAAAGAAATCACTCTGTGCAACCCAAATGAGAACGCTCCGGCCCTGCTATATCAGGACTCCGGGGAGAATTGCTCCACCAACTTTCTACTAGATTCATGGTGAAATGAAAATCTTCAAGCAGCAACAGAAGGAACACGTAAAAGTTGGAAGATCTTCGTGAAAAACGGTTGCGAAGAAACGAATCGAATGTGAGAAGTGCTGGGATCCGCACTGTAGACGTGGAGACAAGTTATATAAAATCAGAAAAAACGAACCTTCTCGTTTCGTTACAGTCAATTCCTGCTTTTGGAACTTTTACAAATCTGTTCAGAAGTTTTCATTGATACTTCAATCTGTAACTTTGCGAGATTAGCTTTAAAAGAAATCTATATAAAATTATTTCTAACCATATTGTCCAGATACGGAAGTGTTTTACACTCTCTATTTCACACTAGAATGGCTTTGTAAGCGCTATCCACAGCATTACGGCTACATAATCCACGGCGTTTTCTCTGTCAGTCGAAGACCTATGAATGAACAGTGAAATGGGAATGTCAACCGTATTATGTGTTAATGCGAGAAAAGCACGCCATTTGTGGAATTGAAAACCAGTAGGCAACGGAAGTGCAATGAAGCTTATGCAAGCAACTTTTGCTTTTCTATGGAGCCAATGAAAATAACCTGAAGATAGTTTCTATAACGTATCTAAAATTTCGTTCCAAATACAGTATCTGTTATAGTCATTCAAATATCTAATAAAGGTAAAGGACAAAGCGTTCAGCATTCATCAATCGCTGTGAAATGCTCCATCCATCCAACTTCATTGACCACTGAATAGGTGGTTAAATGGATTCAATCTATAAAATGAATTTTAAAGCCAACTGATATTAATTTCACACTCCCAGGCAACTATGATATAAATTTACCAACCTCAGAGGTGTGGAGGGCTTGACTAACTCAAAGTGTTGGGCCGAAACAACGACTACGTCTTTATTGCATCGCACTTCTAACCACTGAGATACATTCGCTTGTCCGAATACCTTGTATCCGTAGTAGGACGCAGCAAAAGTAATCATAATTCTGTTTTAAATCGTCTTTGCAAGAATTCCTTGGTAAAATATGTCGGCATCTGAACAATTCTAGGAAAAGTAAGGAGAAAAGAAAACGGAATCAAGAGTTACTGGGTTGATAGTGATCAATTTTGATGTAACTTGACACTTGGCACTTGAACGGCTCGTCCTTACTGGCTGTGCGCGCCACAGCATAATCACCATTTATCGGAGATTTGCTGGTTAAGCCATTGTGGTTCCCAGGAATCCAGTGGTCAGACTGGCCAAAGTCTGCTCCAGGTCGTCATAACCACAGGCAGTCGCAGCCCTTGTGGTTCAGAGAGAGATTTACCACCATGCGACTTTGATACCAGGACGGTGGTGGATCCTGGTATTGGTTTACTTTTAGTTAGGCTTCCTGATGGAAACGCCGGACTCCTTCTCAGTTTGGGAGAGCTTGCCAGTGAACGAATCCCCAGTTGCACATCGTAGTCCGACGCCCAGGAACACCTCCCAGCCACGATGAGGCGGTAAACCGTTGGGAGGATTTTGATGTGAAGGCATATTATATCACAAGTTAAAGCTCAACACTGATATCATCAGAATATGAGAGTTTCAAACAACAATGAATAACATTAATTCTTCACTGCTTCACTCTTATCACTACTCCACTATTTTTGTGTTTCAAGGAGTTTTTTGAGGAGATTAGTAGCAAATGTGCCATGAAGAAATCTACTTAGCAGAGAAGAAATCAATAACAATAGAATTAAGCTCGTTTATGCCAAAATAAGCATTATAAAAATGAGATTAGAAGATGTTTCGTGTTTGCAGCGAGGATCATTCAACAATAATACATGGACGTCTGCTTCTTTTAAACTATCTAAATTTTCAGTCTCTCGAATCCACACGACGAATGCTGGCACTGTGTGAGGAGGTGAACTTTTGCTGTATGCATTTTTATCTCTGTAACTTAATAAGAACAAATGATTTGTCTTATAAGAAATGGGTTTCCTTTCACCTTCGTCTTAGTTACCTGTGATTACGTTTAATTATGGAGTAACTCGTTCGGAAACCCTGTAAACTCTTCATACATCCCTGCTGTTCATTAGAGCCACTTGGTGGGCTCTGCCTACTCAAAAGACATGAAGACCACATTAGTTTTGGCATGGTGCTATTTTCTACTGTTTTGGTAGGAACGATAGGAGAACTTAATCAGCCCCTACCGCACGTCGAACTCGGCAATATTCGCCAGCCAAACGATATAGTAAATGATTGAGGGGTCATTTTTTACTTGAATTCATTACTTAGGTTATGACTAACTGTTGCTTTATTTGTTGGTATAGTTTTAAAGTGCAGTGATTTGTGATTGCTTATTAACCTCACTCATTGATTGACCTCCAGTAGTGTTCCGATGTAGTTTAGAGTGCTCCTCTCATGTCCCAAAAGTCGTTCGAACTTTTTGTGAATCATAAACCATCCTCGCCCATATTTTTGTTGTTCGTCCAAGTATTTTTTGAAATCGTAGTGATAAGATGTGTTATTATTCGTCCATGGAAAATATTCGTTTTACTTTACCCACTCGAATGCAGAAATGACCATGAATAAAAAGAAAGAAAGAATTAGACCAGAAAGGTATGCGTTGTGAATCAATGGTAGTGATCTAGTGAAAACTATTTCAGAGCAAAGAAGCAGGAATCAAAACGTTAGTGATGCTTGACGATCAAGGAGGTCAGTACAAATATGAGGCAATATTTTCCATCTTAATGTGGATTGTTGGCAGTAATTGAGAAATCAGATCAAAAGCAATGAACGAATGTGTAACTCAAGTACCATAGTAGTATACGTACTCAAGAAGAAGCACCTGGACACCTAAACAACAGGTGTTTAAAGATTTATCGACAACTATTGCTTCCTTTGAACCGTTTCAAAGAGCCGTTATAACAACTAATAATTGAGATTAAAAGCATTAAATGGAAGAACCAGTATTTTGACATTTTATTAAACAACTGACATAAAAGAAACTACTACAGTATCCGTATATTTGCTGTAAGTGTTCCCAACGAATATTTGGTAACCAATAAGCATCTGAAGAATTCTAGTCCTATTCTTAGTATTGTAACTTTTTGTTATTACCATTATTTAGAGCAACTTGAACGTTGTGAAGGCGCTCTGGACACGATTAACACGGATATGAAGGAAGCTGAAGAACATCTGAAAGGAATGGAAAAGTGTTGTGGACTTTGTGTACTTCCATGGAACAAGTACGTCGTCCCGAGAACATGTTTAGAATGGAAAGAAATACGCTAGGAGACTGATACAACGGATTTTTCAGTCCACATAGATGATCTAGTAGATGTAGTAAAAGAAAACCGAAGAGGAACAGTGTTGGTGTTCGTACATCATTGATATTACCATATATTCACTTATTTTTACTTCATACAAATTGATTGATCAACGAGAATCTTTCAAGTGTTTCTGACCATCGAACTGCGATGTGCAGGACGATGTTCATCACACAATAGGGATTATCTATGCTGAAAAGGAGGTCGACATTTTCGACCAGCTAAGACTGAATGAAAGCGTACGCTATCGGCGCAACTGCGATGCTCATTGACACCAAAACGTACAGTAAAGTACACATTGGAATAAATGCGCATAGTCATGAAAGGATAGAGTTCTCAGTAAACTTTTTAAAGGTATTTTTCTGGCTCTTTCAATAATTGTCACATATCAATCAGTAGTTCGCTAATAAGATTTTGTTGGAAACCATCACTTTATACGAACACTTTTCCTGGTGTTAGTTTTTCACAAAATTTCTTTGTCGCTTCAGAGCCGACGACTTCGAGAAGAACTCCGAGTATGCGAAAGCGTGGAAGAAAGACGACGATGGCGGTGTGATCTCCGATCAGCCACGAATCACTGTTGGCGACTCATCTATGGGACCACAAGGAGGATACGTAACAAGGTTTGACTTTATTCCAATCACTCATTGTAAAATTTATGAGCACCATGAACACTTGCGACTCGTCAAAAAAAGGACGAGATTCCGCTAATCCTGATGTCAGATATCCTATTTGTTCCAAAGCTCTACACTGCGACTTCTTAGCGAAGCCACAAATCAACTGACAAAACCAAAGTTGTTCATGAAGGGTTTATGGTGCGAAAGCAAGAAAATCAAAACGAATGTATCTTTCTACTTTTTTTCAGCAAACACGAGGTGCTATCTTATTTCTTTATTTGCGCACAAGCTGACGTTTCGGCGGGTTTCGCCTTCCTCAGAGCCTGGAAGGGTCAAGTTGATAGCAATCCATTCGGCCAAACACCTCCATAACCAAACAGAGAAAACGCTAAGCCAAGATTTCAATCACATTTAGCATAGCTCTGCACACTCACCGCTTTCAATGAGTCTTCCACTGAGTATATCGCGTGAAGACCGACCGCACAGAATTCACATGGAAGCGTAATGTGCCCCTCCCATCAGAATAACAGGTTTATATACTGTCCAATATTACACGTGATAACAAGGCATTCCTCCCTGCGGTTCATTTTCGGATTCTTGGAATTTATCCAGAATGCCTCTAGAGTTTTACGCGCTTGTGTTCCCGATTCTTGCGCGAGGATCGTAACCCTTACTTCAAAACCTTCTCCGATATGTTTCTGCGTGCTATGCGTACCTAGTGGAGTACTTGGCTTACGTTTGCCGACTAGGTGTTCTTTTGTACGTACGCAGAGTGTTCTACCCGTTTCGCCAACGTATTCGTCCCCACACGCTTTACAAGAGATCAGATAGACTGTACCCGAACTCATGCAGTCACCGTCTCTACCATTGGGGCAAATTATGCAATTTTGCAAATTATGCATTTCTGAACGTGCAAATTAGCCTATCAGAAAACGGATACATTACGAAGTGGTATCGAAAGCCAAGTAGTAAAAACATCCTAGTTCATTACCTCTCCTCTCATCCCTTTCACACGAAAAGGGTGCTTGTGAGAAACATGTATCGAACGGCTACCAGCGTGTGCACAGGGAGACAACAGAGAGAGGAGTCCCGGAAATTGGCGCGGCAAATAGCGATTTTTAATGGCTACGAAACCGTAGCTCGAGATAGGTGTAGAGGAAACCACAGGTACCCTAACGATAACTCTAGCGGCAACAAGGTCCCGTTTATACTGCCCTTCATTTTAAATGAATTAAGTGCAGCTATAAAACGCTNGCGCTTGTGAGATACATGTATCGAACAGCTACCAGCGTGTGCACAGGAAGACAACAGAGAGAGGAGTCCCGAAAATTGGCGCGGCAAATAGCGATTTTTAATGGCTACGAAACCGTAGCTCGAGATAGGTGTAGAGGAAACCACAGGTACCCTAACGATAACTCTAGCGGCAACAAGGTCCCGTTTATACTGCCCTTCATTTTAAATGAATTAAGTGCAGCTATAAAACGCTGTTTAACAAGGGCCAGTCTAAAGAATTCGGTAACGATAATCGAAATACCACCGAATAATCTAAGGGGCCAGCTAGTTCGTAACCGCCTATACGACCGTCTATGTGTAACGCAAAATTGCATAATTTGCCCCAATGGTAGAGACGGTGACTGCATGAGTTCGGGTACAGTCTATTTGATCTCTTGTAAAGCGTGCGGGGACGAATACGTTGGCGAAACGGGTAGACCACTCTGCGTACATATAAAAGAACACCTAGTCGGCAAACGTAAGCCAAGTACTCCACTAGGTACGCATAGCACGCAGAAACATAACGGGGAGGGGCGCAAGAATCGAGAACACAAGCGCGCAAAACTCTAGAGGCATTCTGGATAAATTCCAAGAATCCGAAAATGAACCGCAGGGAGGAATGCCTTGTTATCACGCGTAATATTGGACAGTATATAAACCTGTTATTCTGATGGGAGGGGCACATTACGCTTCCATGTGAATTCTGTGCGGTCGGTCTTCACGCGATATACTCAGTGGAAGATTCATAGAAAGCGGTGAGTGTGCAGAGCTATGCTAAATGTGATCGAAATCTTGGTTTAGCTGCCACGACCGACTTTCTATTAACCTCGGCATTGATCAAGTGATTTTGTTCGTATTTTTTTGAGCAAAGCTGTGTAGACGGGCCAATGGACAGGATAACATGGTTTTTAACCCTAATATTTAACCAGTTGTTGAAACACATTCCAGCCCATCTTACGAATACCCAGATGTTTCTGGACCGTCTACGTACTGCGCAGCCCAACAGCGCGTGCGTGATGGAGTCCTTCGACGTTACCGCCCTTTATACAAACGTGTCGAATGACTCCGCAATGCAAGCCATATTCGAACTCCTTACACAACACGAAGGAGAAATAACATGTATGGCTTCAGGATAGAGCACCTGATGGCACTCTTAAAAGAATGCTTGAGCTGCTCAATCTTCAGATGGTCTGGAAAGTACTACGCTCAAATAAGAGGGTTGGCAATGGGACAACGACTGGCTCCAAGCCTTGCCATTGCATTTATGTCTAAGGTGGAAGCACCGGTGACTGATCTCGGGCCGCTACTCTACTGTAGGTATGTAGACGACTGCTTTGTCCTTTGCTCAACACAAGAGGAAATGGACAAATGCTTCGAATTGTTAAACGCACAGTCAGAGTATATCAAGTTCANCAGGATAACATGGTTTTTAACCCTAATATTTAACCAGTTGTTGAAACACATTCCAGCCCATCTTACGAATACCCAGATGTTTCTGGACCGTCTACGTACTGCGCAGCCCAACAGCGCGTGCGTGATGGAGTCCTTCGACGTTACCGCCCTTTATACAAACGTGTCGAATGACTCCGCAATGCAAGCCATATTCGAACTCCTTACACAACACGAAGGAGAAATAACATGTATGGCTTCAGGATAGAGCACCTGATGGCACTCTTAAAAGAATGCTTGAGCTGCTCAATCTTCAGATGGTCTGGAAAGTACTACGCTCAAATAAGAGGGTTGGCAATGGGACAACGACTGGCTCCAAGCCTTGCCATTGCATTTATGTCTAAGGTGGAAGCACCGGTGACTGATCTCGGGCCGCTACTCTACTGTAGGTATGTAGACGACTGCTTTGTCCTTTGCTCAACACAAGAGGAAATGGACAAATGCTTCGAATTGTTAAACGCACAGTCAGAGTATATCAAGTTCACCCGAGAAAAGCCGAAAGCAAAATGGCTTCCATTTTTGAACGTTCAAATTCACATATCAGAAAATGGCTACATTACAAAGTGGTACCGAAAGCCAAGTAGTAAAAATATCTTGGTTCATTACCTCCTCTCACCCCTCTCACACGAAAAGGGCGCTTATAAGAAACATGTTTCGAACAGCAACCAACGTGTGCACGGAAAGAGAGCAGAGAGAGGAGTCCCGGAACTTGGCACGGCAAATAGCCGTTTCTAATGGCTACGAAACTGTAGCTCAGGATAGGTGTAGAGGAAATCGTAGGCCTCCAAACGACAACTCTAGCGATAGAAGGGTCCCGTTTATCCTACCCTTCATCTCAAATGATATAAGTACAGCTATAAAACGCTGCTTAAGAAGGGCGAGCTTAGAGAATTCGGTGAGCGTAGTTGAAATACCACCGAGTAATCTTAAGCGTCAGCTAGTTCGTAACCGCCTATATGACCGTCTATGTCCAACTCAAAATTGCATAATTTGCCCCAGTGGTAGAGACGGTGATTGCATGAGCTCGGGTATAGTTTATCTGATCTCCTGTAAGACGTATGGTGACGAATACATTGGCGAAACGGGTAGACCCCTCTGTGTCCGCAAGAAAGAACACCTAGCCGGCAAAAATAGACCAAATACCCCGCTAGGCACGCATAGGACCCAGAGACATAACGGAAAAAAAAAAAAAAAAAGTGTCACGATCCTCGCACGCGAATCGAGAACACAGGCGCGAAAAACCCTCGAGGCACTCTGGATTAATTCCAGAAATCCGAAAATGAACCGCAGGGAAGAATGCCTCATTATCACGCGTGATATAGGGCAGTATATAAAACTGCTTTTCTGATGTGAGGGGCACATTATACTTCCACGTGATTTCTGTGCGGTTGGTCTCTACGTGACATACTTAGTGGAGACCTCATAGAAAGCGGTGAGTGTGCAAAGCTGTGTTCAAAGTGATTGAAATCTTGGTTTGGGGTTTCTTTGTTTGGTTATGGAGGCGTCTGGCCGAGTGAGTTGCTATCAACTTGACCTTTCCAGGCTCTGAAGAAGGCGAAATTCGCCGAAACGTCAGCTTAATCGTGAACAAAGAACAATAACACCTCGCGTTTGCTCAAAAAAATACGAACAAAATCTCTTGGTTTAGCGTTTTCTCTGTTTGGTTATAGAGGTGTTTGGCCGAATGGATTGCTGTCAAGTTGACCCTTCCAGGCTCTGAGGAAGGCGAAATCCGCCGAAACGTCCGCTTGTGCGTAAATAAAGAAATAAAATAGAACCTCGTGTTTGCTGAATAGAAGTAGAAAGATATATTCAATCAATGCCGAGGTTAATAGAAAGTCGGACTTGGGAGTTTCTTCAAAACGAATGATTTCTTCATTATCAGCAGTATTGTTTATGACTTAACTGGCATAGCTACAGTTTGCTCCGAAGCTGACTTCAGTAGACACCTCGACCTCGTCGAGATTCCTACGTATCAAACACAAAGCGCTTCAGTGAGGATTTTTGGAAAGTAATCAGCATACAAGGTGTTAATTCCGAGAAACAGTGGAAAGGACTCACAAGAAAAAAAAAATGCAATCGTCGTCCTCCAAGGGGAGACTATCTACGAGATGGCCTGGTGTTTATGGCTTGCATTAACCTATTGGCAGCTGCGGACGGATCACGCGTGTATGCAGGCGGATATGCGGATCATGAAATGATACTCAGAGACGTAACCATCTTACAGTACACTCTCACCATTGTCGAAAATAGTGATGGAAAGGATGGAATATGTCTTGAAATCCTTGTTTTTCGGACCACTTAATACATCCAGAAGAGAATGTCCATAGTCGAACCAGTGTATTTCCCCATTTTCCTGTTATGGTAATGTGTATATTACTGCTACTTAATTGTTACAATTCGTTTTTAATTAATAGTGCGTGTAGCACGGTGGTAGGAGGCACCTTGCAATACACATAGGGTCGATCTACGCGCCACGGGCTCACCAAGCTCTCCATTCCTCCGGGGTCGGTAAATTGTTACCACACTTGTCTGGGAGGTTAACAGCACTGGCTCGATACATCGTTAGGCCACCGCGAGTCATTGTAAAGGCCAGATGTGCATTCAATCACCTCCAGTGATACATGATGAAGTCGGATGCATGGCGCATTCCTCAAGGATGATCAACGCCGAGAGCTCTATCCTTTTATTCTATTCAATGCTCGTTTTGATTTTATTGAACTTCTAGTTGTCATCAGAAATTTGTATGCCGTCAGCTTTATTTTAGAATCACAAACGACGCACGTGAAGATGAAATGGACGAGAACATACAACAGGTATGCTTCTATTTCCTCAGGAACACGAAATGTAATAGCCAACTCTGTAACAGCATTCTATGAATAGATTGCAGAAGCTGTGTAAGGAGAAATTTAAGAAGACAGAACAAAAATAGAGAGGATTGAAAGAACAACATATTAAACTGAACTAGTCAGTAAACAAAGAAAAGAAAAATGAATAAGCTAATAGAGGAAGTGGAGGAGAGGAACCCTCCGTCCTAGTAAGGAAATCAAAAAAAGTAATGTTAATAAGTGGACCGTTTACTAGAAATCATTTATCAAGCCTAATGGAATAAAAAGGCATATTTGCGTATTTGAATTTCGTTTATTTTTTTCAAGTTGAAACTATAAGGGAAATTATACGGTAAATCATGCATCATCTGCTATCCACACTGAAGTAAGCACCATACGGTTGGTTTTAGCTTTACTAAAGAAGGATATCAACTACAACGAGATCATCTAGTTAATATAAGAATTCGTTGCAAAGCTCCGCATATCGTTTCTTCATTTATCGAGTTTTTACTTTCCATTATCCCTCATTTTACATTCTTTGTTTTCAGCACTCTTTTTCTAAAAATTCCACTACTTCAGGTGTCAACGATGGTCGGCAATCTACGTAATATGGCTATTGATATGAGCACAGAAGTATCGAATCAGAATAGACAACTAGATCGCATCCATGACAAGGTGAGCACTCTGTAACTCTACTTTCACGTCTTTCTTGTAACTGGTCAAGTTCAGTTAGGTATTTAGACATCCTATGTTCAGCAGTGAAATCCCAGTGCAACGTTGAGATGGTTCAGCATTATTTTCTAGAACCCTCAGCGTTTTGAGAGTGTTCACAGTGGGTCTCGAGTCAGCCTTTGCTCATCTCGCGCCAATATCCCTTAGAAGAGGCGATAATTCCTGCCACGTGACGTCGATGATGAAAATACAGGGCTAATCCATTGCTTAGTTGTCCAGGAACGTAGATCTCAGAAAGAAGTTTAGTAGAAGTGAACATTGACTTCTATATTGGGGGCATCAAGTCAAGTAACTGGACCACTTCCTCTACAAACTTACTAAATGGAAAAATCAATATCTTTGTACTTTACCGAACATTGATGAAAGTGCTAACTTATTTGTAGAAGCAGTTGAAATAGAAGAGTATCGGAAACAATAACTGTCGTTACAGTTAGAGGAAGTGGACGATTTTCTTAAGCGAAAATCACTTTCAGGCACAATCAAATGAAGTTCGTGTCGAATCGGCGAACAAAAGGGCCAATAAACTTCTTACAAAGTGAACAAACGATCCAGTTGCATTTCCAAGTGGTCAAATTCTCTCGTAGTTCAGCGCGTGCACATATCTATACACAATCAGAAGTACATACGTACATAAGAAGCATATATATATATATATATATATATATATATATATATATATATGTACGCACAGAAGTACAATATACACCCATATTTACATGCATTTCTTTTTCTTTTATAAATCTTCTGAATATTGCCACCATTTTCGTGGTCTCATCACTCTTCTGATGATTTATTGAGTTTCATTTCTCCAGCTGTAAGCTAATTTTCTCAAAAATCCAAAGTTCTACAAACTCTCCACTTGTTGAGCTTCAAAGAAAATTGATCAGTAACTTGAAGAGAATTTGCACTGAGGGAGCAAACTCAAACATTTGAGGATTACCCGAGTCGATTACTACTCATTGCTTCATTCCTGACTAGAAACGAGTATTCTCCTTGCTTTATCGATTATCGAGCAGACTTACTTTTCTAACTTTTCGCTTTATCGATTGTTAAATAAAAATTTTTGATTATAACTGGAAACGTTAGCGTAGAAATGCATTGTGAATCAAATGGAAACGTAGCACAGGTATTTAAAGCTCTTAAACGTCATATTTCCTAATTTCTTATTGATTATATTTTTATTATTGGCTGAACATATTGTTTAACAATTCGAGTCATCGATCCATAAATTCCGTTACTTCACCGAGACTACGTTGTGTGTGCAGTTCAACTATTGAAGACAGTCTACCTTGAAGACAGTCTCTTAAACCTTACTACATGATGATGTACTACACATCTCCAAGATAAAAAGTCAAGCTCACATCTGACCGACATATGCTTAAATGCCTTCCAAAACAATTCATCTACAAACCTTATAACATAGGTGAAGACGTGGGCTGTCTCTACTGTGTGGAACTGGTCATAAAGCATAAGCATGAAGCGTTCGACGTTCATGAATCCCTTAGGGAAGTGTCATGCATTCGATTCTTTTAAGTATCATGGCAGATGATTGCTGATGGCAAAAAGATCGATAAGACTAGCTGAGAGACAGGCGAGACAAAAGACCCGGATGGTGTGGTGGTGAAGTGCGCTGCTCCCCGGTAAGAACAACAACGTATGTTCGTTCCCCACTGCATACACCTGCGGTCCGGAGTTTTGCAAACATCTCAGCATTTCATACGAGTTACCATGCAGATGGTTAAACACATATTTGGCCTATTGAATGATTCGCGATTGTCTATCGATGTATCACATCAGTGCTTCTACGCACTTGTGGACTTCGGAGAAATAAGAGGCCTAGTTTACCAAGCAAGCCAGATCGAATTGACAACAACCATTGGATTTCATGGACACTTTGTCCATTGCTTTAGAAGCATCCTATTTATCTATGCGCAAATATAGCTCACATATTGAACGAATCCCAGCTCCACATTCGTTCCGCTAGCTCGCATCCGTCACCCTCGGAGGTCTTCAGATTCGCATGTGAACCTGTTCGCCACACGACTTTCTTTCCTTCATGAACGTCGTTCGATACTGGTTAATTTAGTTCTCACTATAATTATTGGATAGCTTCTCTAGTGTGTTTCTAAATTATCACCGCAGAGAACCTTCTCGACTGCTTGGATCAAATTGAGCTTTTCCCAGAAATATCTGGGAATATAACTCGTATGAAATGCTGAGATATTTGCAAAACTCCGGGCCACAGGTGTATGCAGTGGGGAACGAACACGCGCTGTTGTCCTTACCGGGGAGCAGCGCACTTCAGTAAATAAAAGAGTTAAGATTGTGATTATCTGGGAATAGTTTGCCACACTAGATGTCGGAGATCGCGTTAGTCTGCGGTGAAGTCATCAAACCAGTGACCATGTGTGAATTACTGCTTGACACGTTGACGCCCTAACCAATGAGCTTCCAGCACCAGACAAACAATTACGTTCGTACTTATGCCCGTTGTCACTCTTACATATATAGGGATCACACCAATTTATGTAAAATCATTCAGTCGAGTGATCAGAAATCATACAGACATACGTTATTCGGATCACATCCGAAAGACCTCTCCACGTACAGGTCGAGATATTCAAGAAAGTTAACTATGGGGCACCACCTCCCTATAAACAATGGAAATAAACGATATGACAACAAAGAATGCTACCTAACTGTATCTGACGAACGTACAAAGCCTGCTCTGACAGTAGGCAGTAGTAGACAGTGAGAATTATTGGTGTCTTACCTGTTACCACTCTACCTCAACCGATGACTTGTGGAAGCATAAGCAACATGAACATAGATTACAAGTGACCTCAAAATTCTTGGGTTTACGAATCTGGACCTCAACACGTCTCCATCGGTCTCCGGAGTCGTAAAAGCACTAGCACTGATTGTATTAGAACAACACAACCCTTCTCCAAACGTTCAAAATCCTTCAACGACACTGCATATAATCTTGCGAAAACAAAGTTTCCATAAATTATCTTATATCCCTTGTTGTAATTCAGTGAATCCCTAGACGCTATTAGCACCGCTTGGTAAAAGAAATCTGAGACAATCAACAGTACCTAAAGAACCATGACGGGTTCACAACAAGCCACAAATGAACAAAATTGAGCTACATATTATCGCACTTACATGAAACTCAATAGTCAGAAAGTACCATTAGAATACAGAACAATTCATGTCCACAACTTGTAAATCACTCGTGCATACCTCATCACCACAGCAGCACTCAGGTTCTACATTACAACAGCTCATTTCATATATAGTTTACAAAGACGTATTTATATCGTTTAAAGACTTGTTTCGAGCAAAGAAATAAAATGAATGTGAAAGATTTAAGAAAATCACAACCGTATACGGTATACAATCATAACAAGAATTTCCTAATAATGTCAATAACAACGGAGAAGAACTAAATCTGACCACTAGAAGCTAAAATTTATAACAAAGAGCATATCAAAAACGTGAACAATTCTTGTTGATAATCTTAAAATCTCTGAGCTAATAAACACAAGCAATATTCATGAAAGGTCAGCCCGTTTATAATATTGAGCTTAGACCTGGAATGCATTCCATTCGTTCCCAACACTTATCGCAAAGTGTGATATGGAAGTACAATGCTCTAAAATTCATTTAGTGCTCTACTACAAAATTAAATACAATGAAACGAAAGCTCAGTGCCCACGGGCAAGAGTCTTTTTCAATCATATATTTTCTTCCACTCTTTTAATGACTCTCAAACCATAGAACAGATTCTTCTTGGAGATTTTCGTTAACGGCAAAACTAAAAATACATTGTCCAGTTTTTCTTCTTCTAAATCTTATGTACAACTTGATTTTGTCCCTTCAACGAATCGACAAATCGACAGCTATTTCCCAAAATTGCTAGTTTACATGGAGAGTCACATAGAAACGAATGGAATCCATATGGTCTCGAAAAAAATTTGTCTTCTCTTAAAAACAAAAGTGATAGAATCTTATCGCAATGGGAATATTTTCCGGCGATGGACTGACTCCTGTTTCCCACTGATAAGTGTAGTGAAGTGGAACGAAAGGCATAGTACTTCTGCTACTCCATCATTTCGCTTGCCTCACGCAAACTGCTATCAAGCTAAAATATAATGAATGTAATCCATTTCAGAAATAATAAAACTTTATGTTCACACTATGACAGCATTATTCACGAGCTTGGTACACCACGCATTCCCTCTCAACCCTATGAAACGTGAAATTGATACTTGTCTAGGAAAAGTTCACCCTCTGCAACACACGTGGGAACGATATACCCCGGCTACCTAAGCGCTCTAAGGAGAACCAACTTAACGAAAAATTCGAAGACCTTCTTGAACGATGGATGCGACGAAACGAATCGAAAGCAAGAACTGCTTGGATACGCACGGTGGTTGTGAAAGACGGGTTGCGTGCAGCAAAGGAAATATGCTGTTATATATCCAACATCAGAACGACTATATCTTCTCAGAAGACACAGACTAACATATAAAGGTGTATTTCGACAGCAGTAAATCGATTCACTAACCATGGTTAAGCATGTGTGAATAAGGACGAGATTTGGTAGAAAAAAAAGGTGTGATGCGCGTTGAAATGTAAGAACATCAATCCAAACACTGTTTATCAGTTAATCGTCTAGCATTGTATCTCCTGCCATGAACAACCATAAGGTTGATTTAAAAGTAATTACCGATTATGGGCGAGTACTTTGCAGAGTTATAAACTGGCTCAAGGACAACTTTACTGATTAAACTAAGAAGGATTATCTTTCCCCACAATATAGATGTCCATCTCAGACAAAATGCAGTACTTTCGGTAGCGACGAATCCTTCGCAGGTTATTGCTAAGATGTTAGTATGTTGGTTGTAAAGTCAACGAGCACGCTTAATTAGGTCGAACATTCGCTACCCAAATTCGTTCAACAACTACAGCGTTTGGAGCGTAACATGTGGCGAAACCGCCACACCAGATCGATCAGGCTTTCCTTTTGACCTAAAGCTGCATACGATGCATTTTTTGTAGGATTTCACCAATTTCATCAAGCATTTCCCCGCTATGAGCTATGATCGTTTTGCAAGGCTCACGATGTTTTGGAAGATGTCCCGAAAACGAAAACTTGTCATAATCATCTTTCGAAGCCAACGTGATATGGATTTGGTAAGTGTTTAGGGCCTGATCTTAGTGCAGCAATGGGCTGAATGTCGTTGACTATCATAAAGGGTTCACTTTTCAATTAACGTAAGAATGCCATATTGAAAAGGATCATTCTTCATGCGCAAAAGAAGTACAGAGCAGACTACGCAACGCTTCTTTTGGTGATCGTTCAATTCCTGTACTACCCATTTAATAAGCTTTTTCACTCCCAGTGTGTCAATGACTTCCAAATGGCGAGATGTTGTTCAGTGGACTACGCTACAGCAACAATGTAAACAATGAATATTTATCACAAATTATCCGTAAAGTTAAGAATAAAAAGCTCTTGTTTTTGAATTAACCTAATAGCTGACAAATGGGCAGATGAACATAGAAATCAAGTGAGAGAGATACTACGCTAAACATCTGGTGAGATACTACGAGAGGAAGAGAACCAATTGATACAGGAACAGAGAACCAGGAGAAAAAGAAGCTGTGGAAAAGGGAGGAACTGTGGACGGGATGCGAAACTCTGATATTAATCAGAAATACACAGTTTTCCATGTGAACCCAAAGATTTTCTGACGCTCCATAGAGTCAAGCAGTACATTAATATATACAAATCAAAAAACATATTCCATGAAAAGCCGCATTTAATTCCATAGGACTGTGGAAGCAGAGTCCGACCGAAGACAAACCCTATCTAAAAGCGCGTCCATAGCATCATCGTAAGATTCAACACATTTTGTATTATCGAACAAGAAGGCAAAAACCTCCATAAGTATTGAACACTGTGATACTTGGATACGTGGACGGGCCGTCATCACTGGTTGAGCGAGTCCCAACATAATTTACTTTTTCGGAGTTTTGCTGGTTTAGCCACTGTGGTTCCCTGGGCTCCCGAGGTCAACTTCGCCAAAGTCTGCCCCATGTCGTCTCCAACACGGGCAGCTGCCGCCCTTGTAAGTGAGATTTACCACCATGCGACTAGTTTAATACAAGGACAATGGTGCATCCTGGTATTGGTTTACTCTTGGCTGACCTTCTTGATAGAAACGCCGGACTCCTTCTCAGCTTGGGAGATTCTCCTCGGTGGATGAATCACCACCCTGTACATCGCAACTCGACGCCCAGAAATACCTCCAAGCCACGATGAGGCCGTAAACAGTTGGGAGGAAGTATTGAATAACCGCCTAATAAGCGAGCAACCTTCAACATCTACAATTCTTTAAAATCCATTCACCCACCGAATTGTGAAATGAAAACTGAGTGAAGTTTGACTGCATCTCGTCCAACTCATACACTGTTGCCAGCGGTTCCGATCGAGCAGGAGGAGGAGTGAGCTGTACCGGTGCTGAGGTGAATTCCTAAAAATGTTTCCATTCAAAACTCCACTAAAAAGAAAAGTGGGAAGAAACACCAAAATTTTTAACTCACTTTATCAAAGTAACTCGTATCCGTCTCGCTCTGAACAGATGGCTTGTATGGGGGCTCTATCTCCTTTCTATATAACTTCTCCCAATCAATTGACTTGAAAAACGGTTGCTGACAGACTTCCAACGCGTCATCTGGTCCACCACCCAATCTGTACAATGTGGTCTACAGTTCGCACACAGTTAAGATCTCGTGAGAGAGTATAAAAATTTCCTGGTACGTTGAAACCAAATAAAAAATGCATAAAAACTTGACAAACCGTTGTGTGGGGTTCTTGACTAACAATCCTGTTAAGAGCTGTTTTGCTTCTGCACTGAGCTTACTTGGGAACCGTAATTCGGAAGCCATTATCAACTCGAACAGTTTCTGATGATCCCGTGAGTAAAATGGCAATCGGCCACACATCATCTCGTACATTACCACTCCAACACCCCACCAGTCTACACTACGACCATAGTCATTGTCTTCCAATACCTATAAATCGTTGATTTGGAATCAGTTAATTTAATACTTCATTAGCAAGGTAGTATCAGCAACGTAATAACACAGTTATTTATGCTGATGTGGAAGCTAAATATCATAACACATAATGACTGTGCCCCCAGCCCCTTTACATTCTCAATGATTAGTACAGAACCAAGAAAAAGGAATGGAAATAAGCACGGAAAAATAGATGCGAGGTATTGGAGGATCTAAAGTACAAAAATGGAATTTCCTGTAATGATTAGCTTTTAGTAACATATAAAAACTTAGTTACTTTATGAGGTCAATGAAAGTGGGCAAAGTTCCTGAAGTTTTGTGTGCTTCATGTCAGTAGAAATATTAAAATCCTCGCAATTGCCAGAATATCAGCACTGCACCTTCCAGTTAATCTTCACACCTTTCCAATTCCAGAAAATGCTCTTTGTTAAACGTGAAACATTGAAAACCCGAAAGTTCGAAGAATATGAAAGCAACCTAACCTCTGGCGCTAAATATTCCGGTGTCCCACAAAATGTGCTCGTTTTGTCTCCAAAGCTGATTTCTTCCTTACAGAGACCGAAGTCGGCAATTTTGATGTGCCCATCCTTATCCAACAAAAGATTTTCGAGCTGCAACGAAAACATCCAAAAAATTCTTCAGGAGAATAGGTGCACCTTATCAAGCATTGAATGGGAAAATGAGAAATCAACCCGTGAAACATGGAAAATACGAAGCACGAATTTTTCCTACTATTATTACGGAAAAATGAAACGTAAAAACATTCTTATTCTCTTAAAGAAGTGACAAAAACAAAACACTGCATAATATGCTGTTATTTCAATAAAAGGACATTACATGACTTCCCTATTTCTCCATAGAAAAGGAAGATCATTTTAAAGCAAATATATTTATTCAAGAACAACATTATATAAAAATGACGGCTTCACAAACTAATAGCTGCCTTTAAAAATATTCAGAAAAAGAGCTGAGATCTTCTACAGGTTAAATCAACTATACACGACGGGTACAATGTTACTTGAAGGTAGAAGAATTTTGCACCACTTATCATCAGACGTCAAATAAAAAGCAGAAAGTACAAAACGACAAATGACACATGCTTTGTTGACCCGAAAATATTATTACGCGAGATTTCCGTTGTGGATTACAAATATATTGAATTCGCTGAGGTATTACACCTCATCCTTCCAACGGTTGACCGCCTCATCATGGCTGGGAGATGTGCCTGGGTGTCGTGCTGTGATGCACAGAGGAGGAATTCATCCCCCAGTAGCGTCTCCCAAGTTGAAAAGGAGTCCGACGCTTCCATCGAGAAGCCCGGCAAACAGTAAACCAATACCAGGATCCACCACCGGCCTGGTATCGAACTGTTCGCATGGTGGCAAATCTCCCTCTAATCCACAAGGGCAGCGACTGTCTGCCTGAGATGGTGACGAGTTGTGGACAGACTACGGCTATACTGACCTTGGGAATCCACGAACCACAAGACTTAAACTAGCAAAACTCCGAAAAAATGGAAATTATGCTGGGGCTCGTACAACCAGTTAAGACGGGAATCTAAGCAATATACTTAATCACCCACTTACTTCTGAAAATGCGTTCTAATACTGTTCCCATTGGAGTGTCACCGAGCTTAATTTATTCAACAAAGGTTTCCATCCAGAAATTCCTTTCCAAAAAGTTGTTTTATAATTCCGAGAAGGAATGGTAGAACGTGTTATACTTTTCAAAGAACATTGGGAGAATACATAGCACTTTTTATAGCATCACTGTTTGGTCACTTGATACAATCGGAGGATAAAGTTTTGATGTGTTTGTAACAAAACATAGACAATTCCTCTTCCATTAATTTGGTTAACATTTTTAATGCCACTTGACAAATACTAAACTGAACGTAATATTTGGCTCATTCCAAATTTACTATTATCAAAAATCCAGCTCCCAGGATCGACTTTCTGTTAACTTCGGCATTGGAATAATTGCGGAGATGAATATATTGGCGAAACGGGCAGACCTTTGTGTATCCGTTATAAAAGAACACCTAGATGGCAAACGAAAACTAAGACGAAGCACCCCACTAGGCACGCATGGGATACAAAAGCATAGCGGAGCCGATTTTGAAGTAAAAGCCAATATCCTTGCACAGGAGACTAAAACACCAGCGCAAAAACTTCTTGAGGCTTTTTGGATAAATGCCAAAAACCCTACAATGAATAATAGGGAGGAATGCCCAGAGGACACCGAGGTTAATAGAAAGTCGATCCTGGGAACTAAACTGAACGATGAATGAAATTAATCGGCGACAAAAGTTTTAAGTTAACACTTTCTGGAATACTTCTTTAACAAAACTGAAAGATCTTATTTCGCTCCAACAGTTAGTTTATTTCAGTAAAACTAAATTTTAATTATGTAATCGAAACCATAATCCCAGTTGAAGGACAGATTTCAGTGGTTATATGTTCTCACCTTGTCTTCAAAAATTAAACAAGATGAAGCCATCATCTGCGCACTCTAAAAATAAGTTTTCCAAAGTGGTATGCCGGAGGTTATGGTAATGTTCTCCGCTCGAAATTGTCATGAATATAATACGTGTCCGTACTCATAAGAGCGGTATCGCCTAATAAAATTTTTGTTTTTTGTTCATTTACCTGCTCGCTTAATTTAATTTTGTTGACATCAACATTTATTATAGCGCATGCGCCAGACCTTGAGATCGCGATAGACGATGTTGTTAGCGTGAAGATATCCAAGTGCGAGCACGATTTCGGCACCGTAGAAACGAGTTCGTGGCTCCGAGAAGCCTTCTTTCGAGATTTGAACTTCACGATTCAGATGGTAGTACAGATCGCCACCTATCGCAAATTCCATTACGAAGCAGAGACGATCGGCCGTTTGAAACGAGTACTTCAGCTCCTGTGTTCATAAACTCATGAACGGTATGACTACATTAAACAATAGCGCTCTCCCAATCAAACGTTTCTATGTCTACTTCACGAATAAGTTTCCAGCTAATCGTTTATAAACTTCTAGAGAGCTGGAAATACACCGAAGAGATACACTAAAATAGCAAACATGGTACTTCAGCAAACCACTACAAATAGCAAAGCTGTAGTGGGCAGAACTTGGTCAGACGAAAGAGTACAACTATCCACAAATGCCTTATTACGCATTACATCAAAATTCCACTCTGCAGGGAACGCTCTTACTGAACTGTTGCGACGTGCTAACGGTTTTCAATGGGAACACGACGAATTTATAACCAGCCAACTAAAAACTCTACTATAGAAGCACATGGTCAAACGAAAAGCTCACTAACGCAAAAAAAGACATGCACGAAATACGTCTCTTGAAACGAAATAAAGAGACTATGTTCATCATCAAAACCTCAACACTTTGCCGACACTGTGAATCAAATGCAATTTAAACATTTTTGTGATTGCCTCTTTAACGGTGATTATCAAATTCTTGCCACATTTTATTTTCGAATAAACCGGCAGATGTTAACATTGTTGGGCCGTCACGAGGTTGGCAAAACTGTTTTCGTCGGCTAAATTTTCTACGTCATCGTTTTTATAAGAGCCGATGACCTGTGTCGGTGTTCCACAATTGTTCGTCTTCTCGAGACTGGTCTCTTCGTCGTCGCACCGAGACGGATCTTCCTTAGTGGAACACCACACGAATAAGGTATGCTCACCTGGTAGTGATCTTTGCGGTGTTCCACTGAAGCGATCCCGTCTCTGTATGACGACGAAAACACCACATCGAGAAGATTAACAATTGTGGACCATCGACTCCGATCGAAAGCTCTGAAGGAGACGAAGACGTAGAAACGTTAGCCGAATAAAATAATTTTACCAACCTCGTAAAAGCTCAACAATTTAAACATGCGTTGATTATTTTACCACCGAGGTTAAATGACGGTTGGTTTCAAAATTAAACGGACAGATTCTTTTCCACTGATGCCACTGAGGCTGTGGAAAAAAACCATTGCATCCACTTTCTTTATAATTTACATCTTCGCGATTACTAGTAAGAATTTTTAAGCCCTGGCATTCATGATAAGCTCTGCAACATTTTAAAGCATTTACAACCACGTGTAGTTAAATGGATACACACCTCTTCAGCGGTCCGAAAAGGCTCTTTTACCGAACTTTTTGAGTTCTTCCCATAATAAACGAGGCCCAAAAGTAGCGCCACGCGTGGCTCATGAGATGTTATCCACACTTAATAATATTCAAAAACCTCTATTTGGACGAATTCATTTTTGCGTTCCATAGCCATTGAAAATGACAGCGCCAAAATCAGAGATTCTTCTGCTATTTTCTTGAGCTCACACTGATGACTGCTCGAAAAATATTTCCCACCAGCATACCTCTTGTGTGCGAAGGGTGAGTGGACAGCTAATGAGGACCAGTATTTCTTTTTTTTGTTACTTGGTTTTGTGTACCATTCGGCGATTCAGCTGTTTTTGATTGGATTGATGTGAACGTTTCGAGTGAAATTTAGGTGCTCTGCCATTTATAAACACGTGTCGAATGACTCCGCTATGCAAGCCATCCGAGAGCTTATGCAATATGAAGGAGCAATAAACATGTACGACTTCGATTCATCAGTACATGGTTCTCTTGAAGTAATGACTAAACTAAACTGCTCAATATTTGGATGGACCGGTAAGTAGTTCGGACAAATGAGAGCGTTGGCAATGAGAAAGCGACTGGCACAAACTTTTTCCATGACGTTAACGCCTAAAGTTGAAGCTTACGTACTCGGTCTCTGGCTATTGTAGATATATCGACGAATGTTTTGTTGTACGCTAAGCAAAGAGAAGATGAATAAATATTTTGAATTTCTAAACCAACACTTAGTGTACATAACCTTTAACAGCGAGAACCAAAGAAAGAGTGGTTTCGTTATTAGACATTCACATTAACCTATCCAAAAGTGGTTACATCACCAAATGGTTTTGAAAACCAAATAACAAAACATGCAGGTCCATTTTTCCTCCGCTCACTATTCATACACAAAAAGGGCGGTTGTGATAAACATGTTTCCAACAACCACCAGCGCGCGTGAACTAGTACGGCACGATTCTCCGAATTTGGAGCGGTAAACAGCCACTTCTAATGGCTGTCCAACAGTAGCACCTGGGGATTGCTTTAGAAAAAAAACAGAGTGCCCAAATGACAAGTCTAAGAAAAATAATGTCCCATTCAACCTACCTCTACCTTCAATGAAGTCACGGCTACTTCAGGATTTCAAGCAAACTGACGGGACCAGAATCAACGACATTCATAAGGAGAACGAAAAAAATCCTTAAGCAGCAGCCTAAACTACACGCAAGAGTTCGAAGAGCTTCAAGGATGATGGACTCAAGGAGACGACTCAAATGCAGAAGGTACTAGGTCCCGCACAATGTGGTACATGTTATACAAGGTCATGTAATCAAGTAATAGCAATGACCATAAAACGAAGCGACGATTAAAAACGGCTAGTATACAGGAATCCGTAGCAGCGATTGAAACACCAAAGAACAATCCAAAACTCTAACTAGTTCGTAACCGCCTGTATAACCGATTGTGTATGAGACAAAATAATACCATGTACATCAACGATAGGGAAGGCGATTCCATGCCGTGTACAAGAACAATTAGCCGGTAAATTTAAATCTAAACGAAATGCTCCATTAGGCACGCAAAGGACATTGAAACAAAACGGAGAAGATATTGAACTAAAAGAAACTACCTCCGCGCAGGAATCCAAAACGACAGAAATCCGGGAAAAGCCTTGAGTGTTTTGGATAAATTCCAAAAATCCGGGAATGAACAGTAAGGAAGATTATGTTATGATCACGCCTGACCTCACCTTATACTTCAGGCCGACCTAATTCCGGCACACCCTCACCTATGTAAGACTATGTGACCGGTTTCCACCGAATCACTTGTACGCTTAAAAAGAACAAAATGGTGGCTGTTCGAAAGAAGTTGTTTACTAAGTGTGTGTTGAGTTTTATCTGCTGAGAGTATGACAGTGTTTAGCTGAGTGGACTGCGTGTCAATTTATCATTTCCAGGCTCCGAAGAAGATAAAAGCGCAGAAGTGTTCGCCAGTATTGAACATTTTTGTTATTGAGAACGCCATGTCTGCCAAAACACTGAGTAATTATCGGATACTGTTTCAAAACCAGCATCATCCTTCATGCAAAGCACACGAATTTCAACGTTCGACCATTGTTTCTCCATACGCTATTGCTATGATGGATGGTAGTTATAGAATGAGAAGGTCAGAAACATGAAATGCTGACAGAGTCTCAATATGAGTTTTAAAACAATTCCATACGGTGACAGTAATGGCTTCGGCAAGCAAACTACATTAAAGTGTATCAAATAATAGCAATATCACAGCCCTAGATCTCTGTGATGCTTTCAACCGCATAAGTCCTATAGCGCTGGAGAATTCGCTGTTTATTTCCAAAAAACCGGCACTGCCGTGTTTAAATCAAAGACGAGTTCTACTGTTTTTTCAGCTTCCGTGAAAACAACAAAAATTCGTATGATATTCAACACAATGTTCGCAAACCATTGCTGTCAATCACTCGCCCAGGCTCTAGCAGAATACGGTAAGTTTAGCGCGCAATTAGGTTGACGTCTTTTGATGCAAGGCAAACTGAAAGAGACTTCCACCTTGAACTCGTTGATTTTAAACCTAGAAAAATCCACCTTGGACCAGTAAAATGAAGGAAATCCTCACAGTTTTCTTCTCGAAATTTATTCACTTCTATTTTCTCTCTACAGTGCTCATTCACACCATGTAAAAAGTGAAAAAAGAGTTTGTTGTCGGCAATGTGTTAAAAAATAAACAAATAATGAAGACAGAAATCGTAGCAAAGGTAGCAATAAACTAGTTAGATAGAAAAACTAAGCAAAACAGATACTTCTTCGATAATTTTCATATTCATGATTGCGATTCTAAGCGTTATAAGGACAATTTTAAAACTTAAAAAATAAAAAGTTCATCGGAGGGATAGGAAGTACTAAATCTAGCAGGATTTAGATAACCCCAACACTCCACCGCCCGTCGTCGCCGATGGGACGGAATCGTGAGTATGAACGAAACACTACAATTTAAAACAAATGGTAATAATACATGCACCTAGTCGCTTCCCACCATCTAAGAACAACGCACAGAAATACAGTGCCTCAAATTACGCGCTCATCCGAAACCCTCCAAATAGGTTGTCTGAGTAGGATCTCGACAGTCGTCAAAATTTCTCATAACCCCTGACACTGCCAGGCGTAACGGCCTGCTTTTACAATTCTACACAATTGAGATTATAACTACGACAAAGAGTGGCCCTCAAAAATGATCAGAACGGATGTCGCAAAGACATTCGTGGTGCAAAATATCAGCTAAAACCATTATAAGCTTGAACTGCAATACATTAACCTCAATTGGTTCTCTGAGCGTCGTCATGACGAAGTTGTGGGGACTGTTAAAATATTGTCATGGGAGCGAAGAATGTAAAAAACCTTATACAGCAGTTAGAGTGAAAACAATGAAAATAATCACATGTACAAAATATTGTAGTTCCAGCAGTAACAAAGCAAGCCATGATTTGAAGACATCCCCTTTAGATATCCCATTCGATACGGATTCGTTACACCATGAACCCAATGAAAATGAATCATACTTACCTTCATATCTCTGTAAACAATCGAAAGGCTGTGAAGATATCCGAGTGCTAGAACGATTTCGGCGCCGTAAAAACGTGACCGTGACTCGGAGAATGTGCCGCTCATCTGTAGATGCGTGAAGAGCTCGCCGCCATTTGCAAATTCCATTACGAAACATAGGTGGTGTGTTGTTTGGAAACTATACGTCAGCTGCTAAAACACACGACGACGAATTTTCAGACCGAGAGATAATGAGAGTGATGATGATGATGATGGTGGTGGTGGTAGTGATGTGCTGATGATGATGGTATGATGATGACGATGATGATTGGATTACTTGCCCTATCTCCTCCAATTTGAGTAGGGATAATATGATTTTACTTTGATTAATGAATAGAAAATAAACATGGAGAAGCACAATACAATAGAAGTATACTACAATGCAAAGTGTCCACAAACTCAACATAAAGGGACAAGTGGAAAGTACTCAAAAATCGATAATCAGTAGAAACAATTTCGTTGAAGGTAAGCTTGGGAGTTTACGGTCTAAAGCTTGTGGATACTTTCTAAGGAAAAAGCGAACTAAATACAAAAAAGCTTTACAGCACAACAAAATCTGTCGCGCGCCACCGAATCCTAATGTTAGCACGTCGTTTTAAACTTCCTCAAGCAAACCTCTTTCAACTTAAGACCCAACAAACTTAACATTTAGCGCGCGAATACAGTTTCATACCCAAAAACTGTAACAAAAGCAAAAAACTGAACCAACATGACATACCGTAAGAAAAGGATGCTTACATCTTTGAAGAACACGGTTTTCTGTCAAAGTATGAACAACTTCTTCCTAAAAACTACCTATGGCACACAAGAGGAAAAGGGAAGAAACTCGCAAATAATGCTTACCCTGGCTATTATAACTTCCTTCTTCAGTATTTTAATCGCGTACAACTTAGACGTGCGCTTCTCTTTACATAGAATCACTTTCCCAAATGTACCTTTACCCAGCACTTTCAGAAACTCGAAATCGTCCATGGTCTATGAAAGTAAAATACGGTACAGTGTAGCTGGTGCTGAA